ATCTTGGATTGTATCAGAGGACCAATGGTCAAATGCTTTTATATTTATTTTATCAGCATCATCTTTTGTATATATTAGTAAATAATCACTAATTTATTAAAGAATTATATTATTTACTAAGGAATTGTGTGGATCATAAAAGTTGACCTTGTTTCCATTGTCCATGCCTCATTTGACTACTCACCAATCCATTGATGTAATATTATTTCTAAAAACCAAATGGTGGTTTCATGTTTATGTTTTATTGAAATTACAAAATAATTTGTTGTGACATTATTAAGAATTGAAGGCATAAACCTTCAATGGGTAATTCTTTTCTGTTTTTTTAGTAAACCATAACTAAAATTTTGCAAGGAGATAAAATAAGTAAAAAATTCATGTGGGTGTGTACTTATTATTAGGGTTGTTAAATGGAGCAAAATGTTCTGGCATCAACCCGGGTTATGTGCCACTCCATCATGGAGTGGGTTAAGTTTTCTAATTTTTTGTACCAGCCCAGAGCAAAATATTTTATTATAACCTGGGTTACTATATAATTTTGCTCTGGGTTGCTCCAGATTACTCAGGGTTGCTCCAAATTATTTTAGTAATTTGATGTAACAATTTAAATGATAATAAATAGACTAACTTATTTATATTATATTTTCATCTATTTATATTTTAATCAATCTATTAATTTTTAAAAAGTAATTACATTTGATTATTAATCAATTAATTTGTTAATTTGATTTCTTTGTTTGCGAATTTTTATTATGAATAAAAAACAAAAAATTCATGAAAATTTATATGAACCATCAGGTGAATCATTATTAAATATAAATCAAGAAGAAGTGAGACTAATTTGATTTTTAGTCAAGAAGATAATGAAAGTTTAATTACTACTCCTATAACTATAACTACTACAAGTACAGCTACTACAAGTACAGTTATTACAAGTACAACTAATACTATACAAGAAAATGAATCTAATTCATCAAACACTTCACGTAAAACTTCTTGGGTTTGGAATTTTTTTCAAAAGAATATAATGATAAACAAGGAATTATTACATACCTGTATAATATGTAAAAATCGGTATAAGCCATCTAATACTCCAGGTACACTTGTGAGACATCTAACTACAAAACACTATAGTAAAATTGGAAAAGTACAGAGTACTTTAGATAAATTTGCACCTAAACCATATGCAAAATCAGAAAAACGATATCAACAACTTACAAATACAATTGTAGATTTTATTGTTTGTTGTCAACTTCCTTTTGCTATTGTGGATAATCCATATTTTACTACAATGTTAAATACTTTTGATGGATGTTACCAAGTGCCATGTAGGCAAACTATTAAATCAGAAATAATAAACAATTATAATAATATGAAAAAAAAAAATTTACAAGAACTTTCACAAACAAAAAAATTATCAATTACATGTGATATTTGGAGTTCAATTACAATGCAATCATATCTTGGCATTACAGTTCATTTTATAGATCATAATTGGAAATTACAACATTTTTTACTTGATCTTTTATATTTTCCAATTCAACAATTAATTTTACAAGCTTGCAGCAGCTAGAGAACTTAAAATAAAATTAGAAAATCAAGAATTTGTTCATCAATGTTGTGCTGCACATATTTTAAATATTGCAGTTCAACATGGTTTGCAATTATCAGATCCTATTATAAAAAAGGTTAGAG